TATAAATTAGTCCCTCTCATTTCAAAAAAATGAATTAATTAATTTTTTTTATTTTAAAAACTAATTATTTAGTCCATATGTTTTTGAATTTACTTATAATTTAATCATTTTTGTTCTTTTTTAATTTATTTTGATTTTTTATTTCAACAAATAGAAAAAATAAAAAATAAAAAAATATTTTGTGAAATAAAAATAATAATAAATTAATCATGATCAACATTAGTCAAAGAATTATACATTAGTTTTTTAAATAAAAGGGATTGATTGATTCGTTTCTTAAAACTAGAGGGACTAATTTTTAATTTACTCTAAAAACAAAGCAAAAAGAGTTTCTCTCTGAAAACGTGGGAATCGATCATTTTAACAATAATTAATTGATCATGATGTTATCGTTTGTCTAGCTATTTGTGGGCTTAATAAGGACAGATGTCCTCTCTGATCTTAAATCATGTTGTTTAAAAATGTTTAATTAGATGACATCTTGCATTTGGTGACAAATTGATAATCAATTCATTCAATAAGTTATAAACTTCTAAAATATTGGTTAATGGTCAAACTTGATAATTAATGGTTAAACTTTTTTTGGCAAATCAATGTGACATGTGTTGTTCTTAGGATAAAAATTTTGACTCTTAACAAAAAATAAAAAAATAAAAAAAAATGTTAAGGAAATTAAATGAAAGGTTTAACTTTATCCTCAATCCAAAAAAATTTAAGTGATTGTGTTGGCCATTTAGCAATAATTAATTCGGAATCTCACAAAATTATCAAATATTTTGTAAGAAGTCCTTCCATCAATTTCTAAAAAATAAAAATATTAGTCTTTGTAAGGACTAAATTATAACGCGAGGGACTAATGATTAGTTTTCTTTAAAAAAAAAAATCATTTCTTGAAATAAAAAGGAATGATTTATAATTTAATTACTCTCTAGGGTCCCTAATCATTAAATAATAATAATAATCATTGTGTCTCATGCTTCAATTCTATTACTAAGCAGGAGAAACAAGATTCAGGATACATACGAACAAAGTGAAAAATATGGAATAAGACTGATGACTAACCTACAGAGAAAAGCATATAACAAAATCCCAAATTAAAATACATATGGATGAACGGATGAAGAAGAATAATGTGTCTTTAGATGCCTATGAAAGAGGTAAAGATGATGTGAGGCTAGCTTCTACATCTTCCATTTATAGGTCTGAAGTCTCACATGCGAAGAAGAGAACAAAACATAGCCAAGGACAACCCGCCGGCCGGCCATGCCAGGCTAGCTAGCTAGAAGGAAATGCCGGCAAGTCATCCTTGGCTGCATTCTACTCTCTACCTCTTCATGCAAAACTCCTAGACCAAACTTCACATTTCAGAATTAATTTGCCTTGTGTTTCTAAGTTTGTGATTCTTCTAACTTCTCTACTTCATGTTTTTGTGTGCCAGGCAATATAGGGTTTATATAGGCAGTAGGGATGGTCGAGGCATACGCATGCATGGAGGTGTGGCCATATGCTCATATATTCCATGGCTGACCAACTTTCTGAAAAACGGCTAGTGCTTGCTTGACAACTAAAGGTTGCGACCACTAAAGTTACCTTAAAAAATTAAATAGGAAATCATATTCGAATATCATTACCCATCTCGAAAATGCATCTAACTTTATCATAGATTTTTTGTTGGAAAAATAATCCCAAATGAACGAAAGAATTTATTTTTTAAATCGAGGAATCATCTCGATCTATTTCACCGAATACATCTTGAATTCTAAATTTAATTTATAGTATATACACCGTAATTGTAATTTGTACAGAGATTTTCTAGAACATACTTACTTATGTATTATGGTGCCATCCAAAGAATGTTAGGATTATTAAAAAAATATAAAAACGATTGTCTTTGCCCAAAATCTTTGACATAGATAATAGATTTACCATCCAAAACTTCCTTAATTATTTTGGTAGGGTGATACGTTCTGTATCACCAAATACATGAACCAGATTATAATAATGCAAGGAATAGAATCTACTAAAAGGCAAATGATAATTAATGCCTTGTTGATTAGGCATAGGATATGTAAAATGTGGTTGATATTGCTACAGAATAATAAAATAAATGGCATGGAATTTCACCTACGTGGGTAAATTTAAACTTCTGGAAACCATGCTAGCTAACTTAGAAAAGTTTAAGGGTAAGCTACAAAGCATCCCCTGCCAAGAGGTTTCTATCACTTTCACCCCTAAACTACAAATCTTTTTTTAATTATGCCCTTATGTTTTCCATTTTCTTTGTAATTTTATCCCTCTGTATTTCTTTGTTGATTTTATTTATTATTTTTCATATCTAGCATTTTGTGGTATAACATATCGGAGTATTCTCCTAAAAAATGAAGTGAGGCTTCGAATTCAATCAAGTCTTAGATTTTCTTATCATCTAAAGAATAAAAACTAATAATAATAAAATATGACAACAGATCTATGATAAGTCTGACAATTGATCAGATATGAAGTATGTATTCACTCTATCATGTTTAATAAATATCAATTAAAATGCAGAATGGACATTGAGGCATATAAGAATAAAAAATATACATAACCATTAATATAATTTTTGAATATTGAAACTCGCTTTGTAACTTAATAACACCCACTTTTTTTTTTTTTTTTTTAAAAAAATAACATGCAAGGACTTGATTGCACATAAAAAGTAGGCATAAAAAAGTTTTTTTTTTTTTTTAATGAAAAATTTGGAGTAAAAAAAAACTTATGAATAAAGGAACAAATTCTAAAAGCAAAATTACTAATTTTAATTTCTAATTTTTTTTAAAAAAAAATTACAAGAAATAAAATAAATTATTTTGATAAATTATTTTTAATCGGTATTAAATAAATATTAAATGAGCGTTTTGTAATAGTTTAGAGAGTAATTTTTTAGTGAGTATGAACATGATATTTTTCTAATAGATAGACTAAGAGATTGAATTGGTGAGTTAGGTATCCGTTGTCATCTCAAATCACCAATGCACTCAAATTTTGAACTTGAACAAATTGATACATATGGTTATTATGATGATAAATTATCATAAATATTACACTTATAAATAGAAGGGGATGCCCTAATGGGGTACTAAATACCGACTTGGAAAAACATCTTCCACCATTCCTTTTCTTCTATAATGAACTTTTTCTTGGGTCATTGGATGTACTCCTTACCCCCACATTTTATTAGAAATTGAACCCAAAAGCCTACTTTTCAACCATACGTACATCTCAATATCACTAATATTTCCACTAGCTTAAATCAATGAGCTTAATGCCAGTTTCCATTGTAAACAGAGTGGTAATAGAATTTGGAAGGAAAAAAAAAGGGAATAAACGAAGTCTAGAAATTAGCTTCTTTTCCTTCTTTTTTTTTTTTTTTTTTTTTTTTTTGCAGGCTGTGAGGCACTATATTTTTTTTCCCCTTAATAAAGCTGTGTAGCACCAAATTAATTCAATGTATAATTGATAAGTTGGCACGTACTTTTAAAGAAAGAATAAGATTCATTGAGGGGAATAATTTAAATGCCATCCATCAATATTAGTGGGTTTTGACCTTTTTATTTGCCTAACAAATCTGACCAGAGATGTCCTTAGAATCTTGTTGTTTTCAAAGAAATTAATGGCATTCAAACTACTGAAAGGACACAACTAAAATGGTCTTCAAAAGATTGAACTTGTTCTAATTTTTAACGTTCAATTCTGCTTGTTTACTTATACAATATTCTTAAAGTTTCTAGAAAATTTAAAGTTGAAAATGAAAAGGCATGCTTGAAAATTTGTGGACTTTGTTACATTACAAAAACCCGTGGTATTTCGCCAATTGATGAATTATATCATTTAGGATTAAGATAAATTCATACCACCATGGTAATGTATAGGTTTAATCTAATTTATAATTGGATTTATTTTTCACTTTATCATGTAAAATTCGAATTTTAAAGATACGGTAAGAAAATTAATAATTTTTTTTAGATGTGTAAGTTTGAATATGCATAACATAATATGAAACTGATTGAGTAAATTATAAATTATTCCTTCTCGTTTAGAGAAATTAATTAATTAATCTTCTTTCTTTCTTTCAAAGCTAATTATTTGGTTCTTTATGTTTTAATTCCTTTAATAACTTAGTTTTTTTTATCGGTTTTCGTTAGATTAATGATTTTTGTTCCCAAATTGCTATTTTTTCAATTTTTTGTTGAGAAGAGAGAAAAAAGCCGATGAAGGAAGGAAATAAGACATCAAAGCTGATGAAAAACTTAAATTATTAATGAAATTAAAACATAAAAGATAAAATAATTAGTTTTTAAATAAAAAGACTAATTAATTCGTTTTTCTAAATAAGAAAGACTATTATATAATTTACTGAAAACTTATCCCATAATATCTTTAAGATTAAAGAAGAAAAACAATGATTGGTAAGTGGTTACAAAGGGGTAGACCCACCAATCAACGGTGGAAGACATTGGGTGATCTATTGGGACCCAATTCCAATGGGTTTTGCAATCCTATCACCATAAATTAGAAACATCTCTAAATGGGCCCCAGCAATTGGGCATTAAATTTTCTTCGGGGGAAGAAAGCCCAATAAGAAATCAAATAGTCACAGTCTACATAATGGCCCATAATAAGGCGTCAAGCCTTGATGGATTGAATGGAGGAGCCCTACCCAACAACAAAGCTAAGTACTTAAAAATGTTATACGAGAACCCCCAAAAAAAAAAAAAAGTTGGTCATAATTCATGTTTATGGCTAATAATCATTTATGTTCATGTACAATTATTTTAATTACTACAAAAGATGAAATCAGAAATTTTCTTGAGATGAAATGCAATTTTTTGTAAAATATGGAACACATTTTAATTTCATTTCATCCATCGATTATGGTTCTTGGTTACTATATGCACTGCCCCAAAAATTTCCTAGGCTCTTAGCTTCAGGAAAAACAATATCGTCTAAGGATATTTATTTTATACTTGTTTGATGATGATCTCTGATAAGCCTCCACCAAAGCCAGTTGCAAAGTGGCCATGCTTACTACAACATTCTTTCATGTAGCTCTTGCAACATCCACCAATGTCTCTCTTCTCCAAGCTCATGCAAGCATGCATAGTTGTTGGCTCCATGTCGATAATGGTGTGAAGTGGCGTGCAGCCTGTACAACACTTCTTTAACTCTTGGTGGAAGTCTTGATGTTGATGATGATGATGATGATGATGATCGAAATTGGATTCAACAATCTCTCCTTGTGATTCGTCATCCTCGTGAATGTTAATAGGGTCTTTGCAACTGCTGTTGGAGCAGCAATTAGAAGTAACGTTTGCCGTTTTTTGTCCTTGTTCTAAATCATGAGAAGAATGATCCGAATGGTGATGAATACCATGATGAGTATCGGCATGTTCCTTGTGCAAATGGTGGCATTGGTTTGCCTTACCGTGGCCATGGCCATCACCTTCTGAGCATTTAGCTAGAGTTTCTATTGAATCATCGCGTAAATGTCTCGAGTTGTGAGCGACTGAACAATCATGGCTGTGTGGATGTTTTGCCTCTCTGTCATGATCGACTGTGTTATGGCAACCATGATCATGGTGCTTGGCTTCTTGAATTCCACTGGTATTAGTTCCTACACATCCATCATGGCTCGCACTATGATGGCTAGATTGGCATCCTGAGGCAAAGCTTGAACTTTGAGCCACACACTGCTCCTTCACAACTTTCTGGACAGAGCAGCATCCTGAGGCACAGCTTGAATTTTGCTCCCCACCATGCACTTTCTCAACTTTTGGGCTAGAGCAACATCCCGAGCTGCAGCTTGAATTCTGAGCTACAATCTGCACCTTCTCAACTTTCTGGCTAGAGCAACATCCTGAGCCACAGCTTGAATTTTGAGCTCCGCCCTGCACCTTCTCAACTTTCTGGCTAGAGCAACTTCCTGATGCACGACTTGAATTTGGAGCTGCAAGCTTCACCTTTTCAACGTTCTGGCTAGAGCAACATCCTTCAGCACAGCTTGAATTTTGAGCAGCAAGCTGCACCTTCTCAACTATCTGGCTAGAACAACATCCTGAGGTGCAGCTTGAATTTTGAGCGCCGCTCTGCACCTTCTCAACTTTCGGGCTGGAGCAACATTTTTCAGCCCCACATCCCACCTTCTCGACTTCTTGGCTAGAACAATTATGATGATTATGTGATGAATTCTTATTACCATGTTTATGTGAATGTGAGGCACCTGAAGATTTGCAACATTTTCCTGCATGATTGTGTGTGCCTCGTAAAAGCAACATGCTGTTCAATATGACCAACAAGCAAGTACCTACATCAGCGAGAACGGCCGCCCAAACAAGTGGGTGACCAGCAAACGCCAAGGCGAGGATAGCAGACTTTGTGGTCATGGACATAATCACATTCTCAATTACTTTCCTATGAGCTTTACGGGCAAGCCGGATGGCTTTTGGTACTTTTCTGAGATCATTTGACATAAGAATCACATGTCCTGTCTCTGTTGCAAGGGCTGAACCTGAAATTCCCATTGAAATGCCAATATCAGCTGTAGCCAATGCAGGGGCATCATTGAGGCCATCTCCAATCATTGCTGTTGGCCCATCCTTCTTAAGTTCTTTGATAATAGTCGCCTTGTCTTCAGGGAGGAGTTCTGCATGAACTACTTCAAGAGCATTCTCTAGCTGCACATGGCATTAATTTCACATCCATGTCAGTTTGAAGTCAAATGCAAATAGAGCGGAAAGTAGATATGATGAAGGATAAGAGCTTCACCTGTTCTTGTGCGTACATAGCTGCCGCTTCACTATCTCCTGTAAGCATAGCAGTTTTAATGCCTAATGACTTCAGTTCCCTGATGGCCTCTGCAACCCCAGTCCTACAGCTATCAGAGAGACTGAAAATCCCAGCAAGAGTTGCTCCACAGTACACATATCCGACAGTCTTTCCTGTCTTCTTATCGCCTTCTATTGTTGGAACTATAAGAACAAACACCAAAGCATTTAGAAAACCTTGAAAGCCCAAAGGTAGCAGTTCGTTACTTGGATATACAGGCTGTTACCTGTTCCAGATGCTCTGTGAGCAATCTTTTTGTTCCCAATATATATATCTTTCCCTTCAATTTTTCCTTGAATTCCTTCTCCAGGAAAATTTTGAAATTCCTCCACATTCTCAGGCTTTGGCTCTATTGAATGCATCCTTCCATAGTCGACAAGTGCAGCAGCCATTGGATGACCTGATTTACTCTCGATGCTTGATACCCTGAGAAATTTTCATAAACATTACTAGCAGTGAAGAGCAAAATTTACCATAATTATAGCGGAATGGAGCTAGTCTTTACCAATAGAACAATGTGTCTAAGCTGATATTGTTGCAGAGAGATTGGAAATCTGTGACAACAAATTCACCTCTTGTTATGGTACCAGTTTTGTCGAAAGCCATGGCCTTAATCTTTCCTAGTGTTTCAAGATAGTCGCCTCCTTTGATCAGAAGACCAGCTGTTGCCGCCTTTGTAAGAGCACAAAAAGTTGCAACTGGTGTAGACAGGATAAGAGCACAAGGACATGCACTGACTAAAACAACTAATGCTAAGTGAAACCAGTGATCACGGTCATGAACTCGTAATGCTAGTGGAATCACTGCAAAGCTAGCTGATATGAATATCACCGCTGCAAATTGTAAACAAATGAAGTAAATGAGAACCTTTCAACAAAATGAAAGGTAGGATTGTCTAGCAATCAAGCAGCTGATTCATTCTAAAATGACTGAAGTGAAGGGCTGCCCAAATACTCCTTCTCAGTACTCGACTTCAGTGAAGGCCTATAAAACCGGATGAATGATCTTCAATTACACTGAAGTATGACTGACCTGGAGTATAATACTGGGCAAATCTGTCTATGAACCTTTGAGTTTTAGACTTGCTGTTTTGAGCTTCTTCCACAAGCTTTGCCATTTTAGCCACCACACAGTCTTCAGCTAAAGCAGTAGTTCTAACACTAACATAACCTGAAAATGATAATACCCCATTACCACCAAAACCAAAAACCATTCCGAAACAGTTCAGAGAGCGACTGAGAGAGGTATTGATACCATTTAAATTAATGGTGCCAGCCCAAACAGTGGAATCCACTTCTTTTGGTACTGGAAATGATTCTCCGGTTAAAGTCTTTTCATCCACTTCACAGTTACCATCTACAACAATTCCATCAATTGGTATAACCTCGCCAGCCTTAACTGCAAGAATAGTGTTTAACTTGACCTCATCAGCATCCACTTCTTCCCCACTTTCAGCAATGACTGCTTTCTGAGGAGCTATGCTTGTCAATGATGACATGACAGCATTGGCCTGCAGAACATTGTATTTTCAGAAAATTAAGGACACAACTTTATATCTACAACGAAATTCATTTCCTTGCTGTAATAGCATCCAGAATCAGCAAAGCAGTTCTTATTCTTCAACTTCCAATATTGTTTTAGGACTAAGTAAAATATGCGTCCATGTCCTTGTTCCAATTATAAAGTTTCACTACTGATTTTGATCTTGCAACTAAGTTAAGCCATTTCAAAATTTGAACCTTAGACTGCAAATTTTTTAAGTAACAAATTCAATTACTATCCATTAATGGAGACAATTTTTCTGCTTAGTGTGCTATTCTACAATAGCATTAGTGTGCTATGCTCTAATAGCATTGGACAATTTAGACCATTAGTTAGCACTATTTATAACACACTTCTTATCTTGTGGCTTGCCCTTAGACTGCAAATTTTTACCTTGTGGCTTGCCCTTGACTCTAGCCATTCTGCAATAGTGAACAGGAAGACAATGGTTCCTGCTTCGATATAATCATTCATCGCAATCGTGCCTATCACTGTCACAAAGTAATATTTTGTGTGTCAGACAAGTAAATTAAGCATAATTCTATGAACAAGCACGTACCTATCTAAAAATAAACTACTGCAACGTTAACATAATCTGTCAGCATAGATATATCACATTAATGCTCACATCTTTAATTTTCTTTAGGCCAACATAGTTTCGTCCTAAAATAAACTAACTACAAATCCAATTCAAAATTTTGATTGTTTTTGCTATGCATTAATTCTTACCTCACACAGCTACCACTAAAAGTTAAAAAAGGTCAGGTACTCATCCTTTCTTTGCTAAAAGGTTCAAAACCATAGACAAAACAAATAAAGATTTGGACAAGAAGATACATGTGATTCCTGATTCCTGATAACATGTTAAAATCCAAAAGTTCAAAATATCTGCACGTTATGGATTACTATATGAGTATTTAATCAATACTCTCTCTGGGCTTGTTTAAAAAACTACACTATATCTCAATATGCTGAGCCCACCATTTTCCAAGGAAGAGGTGTCTTGGCTGCTTTCTGACTGATGTGTAAGACCTACTTGTAAAGCCGTGCCAAATTGCCGAAGAACTTTATTTTGAGCATTCATTGTATCGGTGGAACAAAAAGACAACAGATTTAACAAAAAGGAATAGCTTTTTCGAAGTCAATAACTTATAAGTCATCAAAAATTATTGTTTACCTCTTGCAGTAGTAATATTTAGGTTAGATTTTAAGCAAGAAGCAAACCAATGTGTCAAAACCTCGGTAGGGTTATAGAAGGATGAGACAAGACACCATTTGCATTTATCTAGTCAGTGTCCTCAAGAAAGGTCAAATTCAGTTAGTCTGAATGATATATGGCCAAAAATCTCAGCCTTGAAGGAAATGAGTGGACTCCGTTTGGTCAATGGGTAGCAAAACCAACACATGGGCTGCCAAGATTACACTATGCTTATAAATGGTACAAAGTTGGGAAATTTCTAGCTAATAAATCAAGTAAATGAAATCTAACACCAAACAAAATCAAATGGGTTTGACATCAAAACATTCAAACGTGGTTTCTTGAATTAGTTATGCAATTATCTTCTAACTCGAAAGATGATGTGATATATGCCTAACCTAACCCTAGGTTTATCATCTATGATGTATCCTAGCAGAAGAAAATATCGGCAGATCATAAATCCTTTTGCTGGTACTAATGGACCTTTACTTAGAGGAGAAGGTGGAGCTGATGTAAGTATATAAAGATGGCCAATACGTGGAAAGAGATTTTTGAAACTACCAAGACATACGCATCCACAAAAGACAAGATAAAGTGATGATAGAAAACATGTATGCAATTATATATGCAAAATAGCAGCAACTTTCGGTGCAAAACAAAAGTAAGAATTGGAACTTGCTATCACTGCAAATTGAAAAGATTATAAATTAGTCCTATTTTTTCAAAACAAATTAAACAGTCCAGCCAGTTTCAAAAACTAATTAATTAATCCCTATTTTTTAATTCCCATTATTTTCAAAAACGAATTAAATAGTCCCACTAGTTTCAAAAACTAATTAATTAATCTTTATATTTTAAAATCTACTTGTAACTGGATCATTTTTCGTTCTCTTTCAATTTATTTTGATTTTTTGTTATAAGAAATAGAAAAAAATAAAAATAAGCAAAAAATATGAAAAGATTGATGAGAAATACATATAGTTTTTAGAACAAAGTGGTATTAATTAACTATGATCAACATTAGTCAAAGGATTAATTAATTATTTTTTAAAACAAGAATGACTATAAATTCATTTTCAAAACTAGAGAGACTAGTTTATAATTTACCACTACAACATTCACTCTACATGTAACTGATCCACTCCCCCCACCGAAAAAAAAAAAAAAAGGAAAATTAAAGTTACCTGCAATAAGCATGAGAATGTTGGTATCAAGTCTAAAATTCCTCAAGGAAGCAACAGCTTTCAAGCAGATGGGGAGGATGCCAACAGCCACTGCTCCAATAGCAAGCCAACGTAAAGGATGGTAGACATACTTCAAAAGTGATAGCAAAAGTAAGACACCACAAGCCACTGCATATGGGCTAGGCCATTTTTTTTGGTGCTTGGTTTCTCCATTTACTCTAATATTTGCTTCTAGTCTTGCTTGATTCAAGGCCTTAACTGTCAAAAAGTAATTCCCTAGTAATTAGAAGTTATTTTTTTCTTTATTTTGCCATACATAACACCCTGCAGCCCACATCAGTTGTTAGGCATTAAGAAATCGTATTACCACGACAAATTGAATTAGCCATTGCTACAAAAATAAAAGGTTATTCTAGTCTTTTCTTGTAACGAGGCTTTTTTTAAAAGCTTAAATACTTCAAATAAAAAATTTGAATCCGTAATTTTTTACTACTACAAAAATTCATTACCACTAAACTAAAAATCTATTTTTAATCACAATATACTGACTATGCACTACTGATGTCCTTAAAATTACAATATCCATATTCCTTTTTTTCCAAACAATTTACGGATTAATTAATTAATCCTAAAATATTTTTAATCAAGAATCAATTTTTACGGTGAGAAAAAAATATAGCTAAAGAAAAAGAGATGGTCTTTTCTATGTACTATAATTTATCAAAAACAAAAAAGAAAATGCTTTTGTGGTACTTTCAACATCCATTCATTGAATCAGTGTCCCACGAAAAATTTTGGAAAATCAAAATGTCATCTTCCCAAATGGAGTGAAAGATCATTTTATCTCATCATCATTATCCTTTGAAAAGGGGATTGTTATGTGGCCCAAAAACCTTTTTTCTTTCATGAAGAAAGACACACAAGAAGATAGAAATTTTTTTTTCTTATCTAATTGCCTTATATACTTTTAGAACAATAGGAAATAATTAGAATATAATTACGAATTTTAAGCTCCATGAAAAAGAAAACCAAGAAAATTTCTAAAAAAGAAAACAAAATATATAGTAGCATAGTATTTTTTCTTTTTTCTTTTTTGTTGTTAAGTCTCTTTCAAACTTGGTAATTGTCACACGTTGTTGTCATCACACAAGATAAAGGTGATGACCGTTCACACAAAAATTACTCATACAATTCAAAACTCCCAATCTCTTTTACCATTTTATAGTAAAACAATAATAATAATAATAATAAATAACTCAAAAAGTTACAAAACTCAATTTATAATTTATACATCGACCGATATCTGTCATTCTTTAAGAGGTTTCGATTTCGAATTTATTACTCGTTTAGAATAAAAAAAATGTACACAAATCAAAAAAGATGAGCAAGAATGTTTGAAGAGAAATTTTGAAATTGAAAATTTGGAATAAAAAAGTAGTGATTAAGGTTGTAATCCATCATAAAAAGCTATCCTCCTAGGCTAGGCAAGTTTTTGGCATCAAGTTCTTAATAGGAGCCACCAAACCAATGCCCTCTACCACCTAATGACTCGGACATATCATCTTGATCGACCTTTTTGGCCTAATTTTTGCCTAATGATTTGCCCAAGTCCAAGCACTACACAGTAAGACACGAAAGCTATGTATTTTTGTGCAAGAATTATCATCATCATCGAGATCCTTCAAAATTTCAAACATTTAATTCTTCATGAAATTCTGAAAAAGAGGATTTGAACTTTCCAACTTTTGTGAGACACGCAATACTATTTTTAAGCCAAGTGGTAAGAGTAATCATTAAGAAGAAACCAAACCAATTGGCCATTTCCACAATCAACCTCAATGGGCCAATGGAAAAAGACCATGAGGAAAGGCAAGGAAAGGACAAAAAAAAAAAAAAGCAGTTATTTATTTATTGTGTGGCTGGGAAAGACAGATAAAATGAAGCAATGAACAGTAATCAAGAACAGAAAAGGAAGGGGAAAAAAATTAAGTTTCAGGGTTGTGTACCAATTTGGAGCTGAGAAACGAGGAGATTGTCATGGAGAACAATGACTGTTCTTGTCGGGACAATCACTGAGTATTCTTTAACACCATCAAGGGACTTGAGGATATTCTCAATCAAAGGAACCTCTGAAGAACAGCAAAGGCCTAAGACGTCGAAGTAGCTTTTCTGCAACTTTTTGGTTGCTGCCTTGTTGCTTTTGTCCATCTGGGCAGCCATTTTTTCTTCTCTAAGTTAATCTCTCTGCAAAAAGCAAGAACCTCGTGAAAATTAATACCTCAACAGATCCTTGCCGTTACTATATGTATCAAAGGATTGGCTTTATGTGAAAGACAGATAAGAAGTATGCATCGGCCTAAGGCCTGGCTTTAAACAAGAGGGTAAGAGGAGAAAAATTCCTTTCAAGGAATGAAGGATTTGAAGAAGATGAAGTTTGTTTGAGGAGGAAGAAGAGGAGATGAGAAGTTTTATAGGGAGAGAAGCATAGAGGACACTGGGGACTTATGAAGAGAATAACGAGGTAGTGTCGGTTTAAAATAATGCATCTAGAAATTATTATATTAAAAACAAAAAAGAAAAAGAAAATCAAGAAAAGGATGAGTAAATTATAAATTAATCCTTCTAGTTTTAGGAACTGAATCAATTGATATTTTTAGTTTAAAATTAATTATTTAATCTCTTGAAAAATATTGAAATTAATTTTTTAAAATAAAAAACAAATTAAATTAAAAAAGGACTAAATAATTAGTTTGAAAGTAAAAAGGACTAATTCATTCATATCTCAAAACTATAGGGATTAGTTTATAATTTTTCAAAAAGGAATTGGGTAGGAAAAAGTTGTTAAATTATTATTATTTATTTTTTTTATTTTCTTTTGGTTGAAGGGAATAATTGTTTCACACCTTTCTCTTGTTGGGGATGAGACATGATAAAAATAGTGGAGCTAGAATCAGATTAAAGCGCATGAAGAATTGGAATCCACATGTGAATCCATGGAAAAGCTTCTGTAATATTATAAGCATATGTGCCAAACTGATCGACAAGGATTTTATTTATTATTATTATTTACTATAATTTTATCACCCTCTCTCCAGTGATTTTGGAATTCACCTATCATTTACCACTAACTTGGGTTTTTTTTTATAAAAAAAAAAAAAATCATTGTGATCGTCAATTTTTTTTTTTTTTTGGCTAGATTATCTTTTTATGAATTATTGATGGGATTTTGGTTTGCACAACACAACAGATTACTTGAAACAAAGATTATTATATGTACTATAATTTTATCGGTTGTACAAAAATTTTAACCTTGGGACTTTGTCGATCATGAAATGCTGCAATTAAAGATGCAATTTGAGCGTTTTAATCACATATGAAATCTTTTTTATTTTAAAATATTGTCAGCTATATCTGATTTTGTGTCAATGGTTGATAAAGATAATAAAATTTAAAAATTATCTACTTGTGTATAGAGTGATAACACTTATTCTTATTGTTCGGTTTCTACAGCTATCACGAAGCGAGTCATTTTCGGTTATGAGTATAGTCAAGACTAAATTTCGTAACAAAATGAAAGATGACTTTCTTTTCGATTCTTTTTTAGTATATATTAAAAAAGAAATTGCTAAAAAATTTAATATAGGTTTGTTTATAAATGATTTTCATGATGTGAAAAAATAAAAATTTCTATTTTGAGTTATTGTATTTTGAGACTATTTTAAATATATACATATAAGTTTGTGTAAACTATTACAAATTTATAAATATTTATTTTGGTCTCTATGGACATTTGATCCTCTGTTCGCCACTGATTTACATGTCTAGGATATGTTCAATAAATTGTTTCAATGTAATTTAGTAATTAAGCTAACACACACCTACACGTTCCTAAGAAATGTGTTGAAACTGAGTAATCTTTATGTGACTTCCAATCCCTCCGTGTTATGCTATACAATGAACTTATTATGTGTAGTAATTTGGCAAATTACATCACTTGCTTTCAACTCTTACATGATCCACTTTCAGCAGTGTTTTTCTTCATGTATCCTATTGGTTTCGAAAAGAATGTCATAATTGACTTTTTATCCATATTAAAAATGTCATTAATTAATCTATAATGTAACTATTTTTATTTATATTTTTGAAAAATATCTTTCATTTAATTATAATTTTTTTACTAATGAGATTTAATTAGAAGCATTTTAATAAAATACATGATTTAAATGTTTTGATCAAATAATTATTTTGAGATAAATAAAAATAGAAAACACTATAATATTTTTGAGACAGAAAGAGTATAAGTCATGAATTTCTTGCACATGAAATTGGTCTTTTCGTTGAAAGGACAAGAGATTGCTATTAAACGGCATTAAATTGACCTTTCATGTTAAGAAAACGTACTTGTACTAAATACATTGAACTTATCATCACGTCTAGGTAATTATTGCTATTGTCTGTTTTTTTTTTTTTTTTTTTTAAAAAAAATAAGTTGGGTATAATTTGTATGGACCTTAGCCCTATAATTATGGGTCCATAGTAATCCAGTATGAAGATAAAAACCAGTGGGCTTAAAGCCCATAAATATGGTACAAATTAAAAACTTTAACTTATATTTTATTTATTTATTTTGGGATGAAAATTTGCATTATATTAATTGCGTGCCATTTGAAATAATTTCTATTGTTACAAATAAAGGGGGCCTTGGGGTGACAAATAAGCCTTATGATAAAGTAAAAGTTAATTCTAATATGACATTTTTTTTTATTATTGCTTTTAAAAAAGAAAGTTCCATTTTCTTCTTTCAGATTTTTTTTTCTGATTAATATTTCACGAAAAAATTTAATCTTAATATCAAACTAAATGGTTGGACAAAGTAAGCATTACAAGAGGAATTCAAATCCTTACTTTTTTTTTTTTTTTTTGGATATTTATAGAAAGTGAAATATCATTGATTCGGTTTTCGTGTTAACCGATACTTAATCCATTACTCCCCAAATTAAATCAATCCCAAAACATGTTTTTTTATTTAATCCTTATAAATAGAATTCGATTCTCTACACAAAGATGTTAAATTCTCGAAGAAAAAAAGGGGACATAAAATCATCATAGGTATAAATAATTTATAAAATCCTACTAGGAAAGGTTACGACATATACATAAAAGTGGAATGGTGTGATGGAAAATAGACAAGCAATTACCAAATATTCCTTGCAACTAGAACATGTGGCTATCAACTTGGAAATTGAAAATACTTAGATTCACTCATCAATTAAAACTACAAGACCAAGAAAAATAGACAGGGGATTCTAATTCTCTCCCAATACTTTGATTCACCATTCCAATGTATCGTTACATATTTCAAAGTCAATAATATATTATTTTTGTAGTGAAAACATACAAATTATTTCCATACACTTCTTACATGTGCATAAGTAGACAAATATTTTAGATGCTTGTGGCTTGGTGTGTCATCCCATTCTATATACATTATAAGGTTTGTGGATTTTCTAAGGTAAATAAACTGACCATTGCTCTTGTATGTGACAATATTTAATGGGATAAAACGGCTAAGTTAGACTAATTTCTCTAATTTTTTTTTTTTATAACTCTCTAGCCATTTTTTTCCTTATACTTATGCATGGTAGAATAATTTTTCACAAGGAAAATTGATATCTAGTCAAAACAAATGAAAGGTTGAGTCCAGTTTAATTCATATATAGCTAAGCATTAACGTTCTCACACTTCGCAAAACAACACTTGCTTTGTCTAAAAAAAAAAAAATTTGTCGTATTTGATTTTTTTTTTAACGTATTAAGAATGTCATTAATCGATATACGTAATATGTCATCGTTTATCATCCATACTTTAAAAAATATCTTTTTTTCAATATAGATCCTTACAAATGAGATTTAATTATTTTAGTAAAATGCATGCACGATTTAAATATTTTGATCAAACAATTATTTTTGGACAAATAAAAATAATTAAAAAGCAGAACAATCCTTTTTAGATAGAAAAATTAATAAAAATCTCAAGTTTTCATCATTTCAACACCATTAGAGAAAATAATTTAAAAGCTCATGGTACAAAAAATAACAATCTTGAGCCTTCAAATAATAATAATAATAATAAGCCGTATGTATCAACTATCAAGGTTTCTCAAAAAGATTATTACACCTGCTCCGTAAAAGAATTAATTAATGGAATGTCAAATAATTAAGTTTATAATGACAATAATAAAATATAATTACTATTAAATATTTCTTTTGTCTCGAAAAAATTATCTGTCTTTTTATATATATCTTGTTTGTCTAATCAAAACTTTAAGTGATGTAAATTTCTAAATATCTTTAATTAATATTGATTCTCTATTATATAGAATTAAATTTGATGACTAACAATTCTTAACAAAAAAAATATAAATAAAAAGTATTAATATAACATAATAATTAATAAATTTTTTAATTTGTACGAAAAGTCAAAGAAGATAATAAGATAAGTTAAAAATTTAATTTTTCTACAACGTGGAGTTACTGCAACAAAGTCATCCTCTTCACACTTTAAATTGAGAATTTTAAATTCAGAAATTATAATTAATAGCACTTTGCCACTTTTTTTTTAATTAATTGCATAGAAAAATTATGTAAACATAAGAGAATCCAAAAAGTTAGAATTTGTATTACAAAATTGAATTACGTACCTTACAAATCCATTGACATAAACATTGGCCGATGTTGTAGGACAAATCAAACAACGTAAATATGAACTTTATAGCATACAAAATTATATGCAAAAGTACATAATTGAATCATGGCCTTGCCGGCCACTTTGGATTATTAATATTTGTTCCATTGCCTGCACGTTTCTTAGGAGGAAGTGGGACCTTCTCCACGTTATTTTCCTATGCATATGTTATTAAATGCATGGATAATGTAAATTTTAATGATGTAATTTTTTTAAAAAAATTATTTTAAAATATCTTTACAAACGTGCTATGCAAATAAAATTTTAAAATATGTTATTAATTTAAATTTTTTTTATATATTATTTTTGTTTTTAGTATTCAAACATAATGAAAAGGAATTGGAATGGAATAAGTATTTTTTTTTTTTTCATTTCTAAACCACGTGGGTCCATCAACTTTGATTTAAAAGAAACAAGAAAGATATGTTTGAAGTAAACATAAAATTAAGAAGATCTAGATTAAGGAATGGAGCTAAAGGCTAGTCAAGAGACAAGAATATATTACAATTGACTGCTTTTGTTTGGTTTTTTGGTTGTGTTCATGGTAGTCAACACAATGCTCCTTAATTTGTTGACTTGGTTAAGTTCTGATGATAGTTTCAAAAAGAATTAATTAAAGATAGTTTCAAATCTTCTAAAGTCCTTAAGTATTTATTCCATTAGAAAGATTCCAACCAATCAACAAATCAATTTTGTTCAAACCCTAGAAACGTTAATTCCAGTGGAATTTTTATCTTTTCATATGGCATCAAAGATTTGAAATATGTTATAATGACAGGTATCTGCCTTCAAATCCAACTCTTCCGAATCCAAAAAATGGGTCCATGTTTGTTAGTTTTATCTTCAAAGAACAAATTAACCTGTCCACAAGCTAGCTCTTCCGAATTCAGAAATTTTCCTGTTGAATTCAAAAGGCATTACCATGACTCAAAATATCAATGTGATTTGGAAATCTATAGTACTACTCTGTATAATTGACATGAATTCAACGAAACAGATTAACATGATTTCACGTTAAATATTTTAAATATGAGATCTTAATTTCAAACCCTAAAAGCAGCAAAAGGAAATTAAGGAATTGAGTAGGAATAAGTGAATCGCTTATTAACTTCAATAGATTGGTCTGTTGGTTGAAGAAACATGTTTTATTCGTTGATTTCTTTTGGTTGAAGTCTTAACTCAAGCACCTAATTCATCTAAATGCATAAGATTTTCGTTACAAATATATCTTTAAGATCATTTAAAAAAAATATTTAATTTTAGTTTATCGTGAAAATTAATTCAAAAATATTTTTTTATTATGAAATAAATAAATAAATAACACAAATCCAACAATTTAATTATTAAGTATTATCTTTGCTTAAATCGAACAATTTAATTCATACATAAGTTACTTTCGTACGCAGTCGGCTCTTTATAATAAGCTCTTAGAGAACATGTAGCTTCAACATTTTCTATTTGGAGGCTCAAGATTGCTACTCTGACGGCTTGTCTGGTCAAATATTCCTTAGGACTAATCTCCATTTTTTTTTTTAAGAAGAAATGTTGAAGAGAGATTCAATATAGTTCAAATCCAAGTAGGCTATTGTCAAAAGATTTTATTTTTTTAAAAAAAAATTAAAACTATTAAATAAGATTTTAAAATATAATTTTTATTATTATTTAATCTGCGATTTTCTCAGAATCTCAATCTTTCGAAGGTCTTAGTTCTTACATCAATATATAACATTCACAAGCAAGGAAAAAAAAAAAAAGCGCTTTGGTTTCATTAAAAAATAAAACAAAAGAATTGAGTGTGTATATATTCCTAGCCGTCGAGTCCTTTTCATTTGTCTTCTACTAGTGCCGATTGTGGTTGGCCAATACAAGTCAAAACTGTCAACCACGTGACCTCTAAGAATCCCAATCGGAATTAATTTGGATATAAACAATTTAACTAAAAAATAATTTCATAACTATTTCTGTTAATGTATCGATTTGGATATAAATAATCTACTTAAAAAATTATCATAAATAATTTAAACATATAAAAACTGATACGAAATATTACAAATATGAAATAAAAAAATAACTATGTTAGCGAATTAAGTAGGGAATTTTTCCGGAATTTTTAATAAGAGGCTGTAATAAACGAAAAAATCTTTCTTAAATTCTACTGATTGATTACTTATTTTCACCACTTTTTAATTATTTTTCAAGAAATTTCATATCCAACTACTTTTTCTCCAAAACTTGTCAACACCAAACCTTTTGTAAGAATTTTCGAGATGAAAATAAGTAGACAATTTGACTATAATTTATTATCAATGATAAAAATGATAAAAATGAGCATATAATAATATATGGAAATAAATATCAAACATTAGCAATCAGCGAATTCAACAATTGGACTAGAAGAAATGCTCACTTGTTTAGCAATTAATTGAATATAATTTTTGTATGACATTTATTTTGGTGTGCTTATGTAGGAGTCTTGTTTGGATACCAGAGTAACATAAACTGAACATGATGCATAATCATTAAAATATTTTTGGAAAGGATAAAAAATAAATATTATTAACATACTCTTATAATCTTTTGTTCATTGATTTGTTATTAATTATAATTTTTGTTCTTTGCTGGTTGAATAAATGAAATAAAATAAGTACGAGAATAATAAAATAAAATAAATGATTTTGAATTGATTTAAAATGCAAGAACATTTGATTATAAAAGGAAAAAACAAACTCTATTTAATTGTCTATATAATTGTTTTGGGTTAATGGTTTCAGAAATCTCTCTATTTTTTTTTTTATCATATCCTTCTACTATTTTCTGTTTTAAATTCATCTATTTATTTTTGCTTTATGTCTGAAGTTCGTTATTCCATTAACTTTTAAATTAACGATGTTAATTTTTCTTTCTATCTTAATCTCATCTCTCTATTCTATTTTTTGTGTTAATCTTTTTTTTTTTTTTTTTTATCTTAATCTTATCTCTCTACTCCTGAATTGTAATGCTTTGGTAATTGATAGGAAAAAATGGGACAAAAACGAAACCAAAGAATTAAAAAGAGACAGCAATAATGAATAATAATAAATGTGCATGGAGATTATAAAACAAAATTAAGACCATTAAGTGTTGTGAGGTTCACTATCACTGCAACTAATTAAGACACCATGAGCTTTAGAGATTCACTCATGTCCATAAACATACAAATAAAATCATACAGATGAAGTATTGTTATTCTATCATATGGATTTTGATTAGAAATTTGACAGGTTAAGAAATTAGCTTAGTTTTTTTTTTTAATAAGAAATATATAGACATAATTGACTTCTGTAGCTAGTTTTCAATTTATTTTATTTTATCTTGAAAATTAGAGAAGTTAAAACAAAGAAATCTTTCATGGAAGTACAGGCTATAGTACTCTTTCTCTTATTAAAGTTGTTCTTCATTATTCATAAAATAAAATAAAAATATATTGTCCTTTTATTTCTCTACTCAAGCCACAACAACGAAGATCAATTGAAACAATATATAACTTTATGTTATTATGATAATTTTATTAATTAGTTGATCTAAATTAACATTGATTACATTAGTTTAGTAAATTAAATTAGGAAAGGGAAAGTTGTCACGGATTAATGCTTAGGTAGAGTCCTACATGGCAAAAATTGTCCTATAATAATAAATAAGTTTAAAACCAGCCTATTTTGAAAAAAAAAAAAAAATTCAAATAGCAGCATATTTAGTTTATATTCTTCTAAAATACTCATCTTTTCTTTAAATTGTATTTGGATAATCTTTTATAAAATGAATTATAATTAGTAATATTTTTCTAAAGTTTTGACTAGAAAAATATTTTGAAAAAAGATATACAATTCCTTGGAAATAGAGGATTCATCCTAAATGCAATTGTTAGCCAGATACATGTAACTATGTGTATGGCATAATTACATTTTTGGAAAATCTAATGTGTTCAAATTTTACATTTTTTTCTATAAGAAATTTTTAATGTGTTAATGACATACTTTTCTCATTAGATTTGACCACTATAATTAACTAGATTTTTCCCATACATTTATAACTAAACAGATTGGCTATTATAATTATCCATATAAATACATGCAATGCGTATGGCTTGTGTTGGAAAGTCCAATATGTTCAGATTTTACATTTTTTTTCTATGTGGAAATTTTATTATGTTATTGAGATATTTTTCTTATTAGATTTAGCCACACCATATCTCTAGATTTTGCCCATACATCTATAAGTAAAGAGATTGTCTATTATATATATATATATATATAACAGGTAGAGACTGGCAATTACACTAAAAAATTATTTTTATTGTTTCTTAGTATATTATTTCTCTCTTTTGATCTTCAAGTGAATCAAGTGGACCTCGTCCAGCTAAAGGTTTGTAGGTAATTTTATCTCTAATGAGTTTTCTTTTTTTATAATTACTAATTAGCATTTTTTCTTTAAGTGAACCAATTAGCATTTTTTTAATCTCTAATTAGAATTTTAATTTGGCATAAATCTTCCTTTATCATAATATTGATTTACATATATATGTTTTTTTTTAATATATAAAGACTCTTAACTGTTTAGATAATTTTTTTTTTTAATAGCGTCTCTCTTTTTAAAATATTAGTTAATTCCCATATGATTCTTAAAAAACTGTTTAGATAAATTATTTGTCAATTTGTAATATGAATAAGCCAAACATTTCATCCATAATATTCAATAATATGCTTTTCTTTTTTCTTGTTTTAGTATTGAGAGGTTTATTGGATTTGGAATCTAGTAGAACTCCGTTCTTACAATTCCTCTAAGATATGATTTGACAGCAATTCAATACTTGACATCAAAACCAAAAGATTTCACCAACATCAAAGAACATTTCTACAATTTAGTGTCAATTAGTTCATATAAATGTTTGAGTCACTACTACATATTTTAATTATTACAAAAATAATAATATTATCTTTTGATTAGTTGATCATAAATGTTTTGTTGAAAGATCTTTGACTTAAGCTATCAAAATTGGTTCTAATTATTTTTCTATATGAACATATCGGTTTGTTTTTTTTTTTTTTAATGAAAGTATTTGTTGTTAGTTACATTTATTTGTTGTAATTAAGTGTCCGTTATAATTTGTGGAATCGACATATTGCTATCGATGTTCTTTCATGGATTTCATGTTCTGATGATTAACATGCAATTTTCTATTGCAAGATGGCATGCTTGTGGCTTGTGCTCATCTTGTCCTTTGCAGTAGCCCTCCAAGACCAAATCAGAAAGACAAGTGCAACTCTTGAAAATATTGGAGTTTGCTATGGCATGACCGGAAACAACCTACCTCCAGCAACCGATGTGATTAACCTATACAAAAAATACAAGATTGGAAACATTAGGCTCTTTGATCCCAATCCTGATGCACTCAATGCCTTAAAGGGGACTCAAATTCAAGTTACTTTAGGTGTAAGAAATGAAGATGTGCCGAATCTAGCAGCAAGCCTAGAAGCAGCGAATTCTTGGGTTACAGTTAATGTACAACCTTACCTTCATGATAATCCTATTTTATTATCCTATATTTCTGTCGGTAATGAGATCATTCCTGGACCGTATTCCGGGAACGTTTTGGCTGCAATGAAGAACCTTCGCACTGTCTTGGATCAACGAAAGCTAGCTGCTATAAAAGTGACAACCGTGCTAGCTGCAGACACATTAGGAGCCTCTTATCCACCTTCAGCCGGTGTATTCTCACCTGAAAGCATCAATGTTATGGGTGGTATCCTGAATTTTTTGTCAGAAACTAGATCACAACTTCTAGTCAATGTGTATCCTTACTTTGCCTATGCTGGAGACCCTTCAAATGTGAGGTTGGACTATGCTCAATTTACCGCCCCAGGACCCGTCGTTCGCGAGGGGAACTTGAGTTATTGGAACTTATTTGATGCTACAGTGGATGCATTTTATTCGGCAATGGAGAAACTAGGTGTCCATGATGTGGATTTGGTAGTGTCAGAGAGTGGTTGGCCTTCTGCTGGGAATGAAAATTTCACAACTCCTCAGCTTGCATCGACCTATAATCAGAACTTTGTGAAGCATGTTGTCTCTGGGAAAGGAACACCTAAAAGGCCTCGTAAATACATATTAGGGTTTATCTTTGCCATGTTCAATGAGAACCTCAAACCTGCTGGTGTGGAGCAAAATTTTGGGCTTTTCTTCCCAAACATGCAACCTGTTTATCCTGTATTCAAATAATTTTACTTTGACATGAGCAGGAATAATCTATACGCTGTGTACCGATAGCTCTCTCCATTAAAATAGGTTCGAATTCTAGTAATTCTAGTTTATTACAAGAGAGAAATATTTCTTATTGTGTAGGTTTAATATCCAACGAGCCTTCCAATGAAAAAATAATAAAAAATAATTTTACTTTAGCACAAATAAAATGGAACTCTTCTTTCCTTTAAGAAATTATGTATGTAATAAAATTTATATGATAATTTATTGGTTGCTGGTTTTTTCATAGCTTTCTTAGTTTAAAAATGTATATAACAACATGGAGCACTCTTGAGTTTTATTTATGGCTTCTAGGCAAAAAATGGAGTAAATTATAAATTAATCTCTATAGTTTAATGAAATTAATTAATTAGTTCTTATGATTTGAAAAATCATGCTATGTTTTTAAATTCACTTATAACTTAGTTTTTTTTTTTGGGGTTAATTTTGTGTTATTTATCAATTTATTTTGTTATTTTTCTTTTTCATAGTTAGAAAAAGAGAAAGAGTAGCCAATAAGATGAAGAAATTTAATTAGAAAAAAAAGGCATTTTTTCCACCAAAAAAAACTGTTAAATTAACTCAAAAAAAAAATGTAAAGAATATGAAAAGAAAAGGAAGGTTCTGTTTTTTCTTTGAAGATGATTTTATTTTTTATTTTTCCAAAGAGTGGAGCCAAAATAAGCTCTTTAATAACAAGAGCTAAAAGCGGTCATAGAGCGAGCAACATTAAAGATTATTTTATTAAATTTTAAATCGATTATTTATATAAAAAAATAAAAATACATACATTCAAATAGAATATAATAAAAGTACAAACACTTATTTAAAAATAAAATAAAATATTCATAGACACCGTAGGTTAATATACTCATAACTAAATTTAAGGATCATGTCAGCATATATTTAATAAAAACCTAACGTTAAATTTTGATTAAAAAAAAAGTTTGCATACTTAAATAACAAAAAAAAAAAAAACACTTAAATAATAATAAAAAAAAATTCACACACTAAATATATAATAATTTCTTAACTAAAATGCATCCATGTTTCCATCATTAGCAATCCTAAGATAGTTTTACCTACTTTAGTAAATGAGTTTATTCGAATTCTAACTAAGGAGACTACAATGAAGAATTTTCTTGTAAATAGAACAATTTAGGTAGGGGTGACCTATTTAAAAATTTACAGAATGAAGGATTAGTTTTTTCAATTAATTCAATTATATATATATATTACTCACCTAGAGAAAGATATTTCTCCAAATATAGGAAAATATAACCTTTTAGATATGATCTCTTACAATTTTATTTTATTTTATTTGACATCACTTTTGCTAATAGTCGAGATAATGCACCAATTTTATAGCTAAAATCACTTTGCTCAACCTTTTCTACTTGAAATCTAAAGATTGCTACTCTTGATCTCATGGCTTGTCTGGTCAAATATTCCTTAGCACTATTCTCTCTCTCTCTGTTTTTTTTTTTTTTTTTCCCCTAAGAAAAAGAAATGTCGAAGAGATAAAATATTTGGTTGCATTCTCAATCAAATATTTATTATTATTATTATCTATTGATTTTGGGAGGGGGCTGTTCATCTCTCTTGTCTTTTTCATTTGTCCTAATGGGGCCTTTTACTGGTGCTAATTTTTAGCAGGGCGCATTGCAAGTCAAGCTTGTCAACTCCATGACATCTAAGAGGCTCAATCGGTAGTCATCGATACTTACAAAGTTTGCAGCAATAGCATAAAATAAACAGAGTAGTTTTAACACACAAAAAATCGAAAATATTGTGGCAATAGAAAAAAAAAAACTATTTCAAGGAATATTTCCAAGCATGATAAGACAAAAAATAAATAACTATTGAAGGTTGTAGATGGAGTGACAAAAAGAATATATCTACTTATTAGTTTAGGATTCGATTTTTACTTTTAAAAAATTCCTTCATCTTCTTTGAATGACAATGGATATGGCCTACTCGACCAAAGACTAAGTCTCTCTCTATATATATATATGATTTAAAATATGATGGATTTAATTCTGTTTGATGTGAAAGCTAATCCAAAAATATTCTATTATCTGTAAATATTAAAAGAAAAAAGAGAGAAAATGAATGCTTTTAAGAGGTTGTAAAAATTGGTAAAATTCCTTTTATATTTCTTCTTATATTTTACCAATTACTTTTTTTTCCTTTTTTTATTCTTATCTGTCAAAGAAATTCCTTATCCAACTGCTACTTTCACGAACCTTCGTCAACACCAAACCTCTTATAGCCCATAAGAATTTTTAGCTTGAAAATATATTTTGACAATCTGTATTTGACCGTAATGCATTATCATATATGGAAACAAATATCAAACATTAGCAAATCAGCAAATTAATTAACAATTGGGCAAGAAGATTGATTTGGGTGTGCTAATTAATGTACGAGACGTGCGTATTTGAATGCCTGAGTGAAATAAACTGAATATTTAAATAAATAAATAGTCTTAGCATGCATACTTTTATATATTATTTGTACTCTTTTGTTCTTTGTTGGTTGAAAAAATGAAATAAAATAAATAACACAATATATAATAAAATAAAAAAAATTGTTTTGAATTGATCTAGAAGGCAAGAATGTATCGTCATAGAAGGGGAAAAAAACACTTTCAAGCTAAAAAAATTTTTAGTAAGGTATTTTTTCCTGAACTAAGTCAACATATGTTTAATTTTTTTGTTGATTCTAAGAGCTAGATATTTTTAACCCATCAATAGAAAAATGTTTTTAGGTCAATTTTTACATCAATTGAAATTAAATTTATAATTTTCTAAATTAGATCAGAATCAAATCATGTTTACTGTTTTATGAATTCGCTTTTTGAGTCCATCAACAACTAATGTCTAGTGTAAAGAGAAGATTTCTAAGTACGAGAATCAAACTCATTGCCTCATAAGTAGAGACATTCTTCTTTATCACTCCATCTATAACTTTCAGTGATTTCAATTCCAGGACTTAATGTATAAAACGTACATGCTCTTCTTGGATGACATGTGATACAGAGGTTATTCCATGGGAAAAGATTTATGATTTATATTATTATTCTCTGACATTTTCAAAAGCTGTGAGCTTAATCAGAAAGAATCAACAATTAATGGCTTGACATATCCCCAATATTTCCAGCCATCCTCAATTTTTATTATATTCTTCTTGCTAGTCTGAACGCAATCTACCTTCTTCTTTGTTTTTACTTCTTTTCTTGTTTGCCAGGAATGCATTCTTCGTTGCTACTCTTATTGTTACTGATGTTTTTTTCAATACATGACTACTATTTAATTTCCTAAACATCCCTTTGGCTTTATAACTAGGTATGCATGTTGCTTTTGCCACATGATCATCTTGTCCACATTCACACTGCTTAAGATTTTGTAAGATTCTCATTGTCCTTTCATTTTTTATATCTCTTCTTTCTTGGACGGCAAAAGAAAGGAAATATTTAAGAAAAGTGTATTTGATTCATCGTATCAGCAATTCGATTTTTATTTTTGGAAACCATTTTTTTATATAACATTAGACATAGACTACTGGTTTGTGTAAATAATATGATCTTTGGAAGGTTAGAGGTGATCTCATGATGATCAAATTTAAAAAATAATAAACTTAGTTCTAGTCTGAATAAATTGCATCATCTATAAATATTAAAGAGAGAAAAAGACGGGGGAAATATTTGGTCATTAGTTGTGAGGCAATATCTGATAACGAAGGAGAATTGATTCTCCAGTAAACGGCGGTGGCATACAGCAAATTTTAATCAATGATCTTGCGTCAGCTAGCATTGAATCATCAAGACAATAATTGTTACTTAACAGCTAATTCCACTTGTGTCCATGATTCTCTGCTTTATAAGATTGATCATACATGGGCCTAGCTAGTTAGATTTTTCCAAGGTCTAAAGTCAACAAAATATTCAACTAGAGCTTATTATTATTGATATTTTACATGTTTAGTCTTTGCTACTTGCTCACATGAATCAGGAAATTTGAGGAGATTAGCTAGCGTGATAGTTGCCATCGAAATGGATTTAGCTTTGGTATTCATCAGTAAAATAAAAAATTTATCACATTAATTTCATGAGATGAGAAATTTTCAGTCCTTGTTATTAATTCTTCCGTAAAGGACAATCGATCTTAACTCAAATGTTTAAACTATTTAGTCGGATAATGAGATTTGAACTCGGAATCACTTAGTAAATCAAATTTTGATATCATGTTAAAAAATCATCTTAACCCAAAAATTTAAATTGTTTAGTGTGGCTTAAGATATAATTTATATTACTCTCTAACAATTTTTTTAAGAAAGAGATATGATCAAGAAATATAAATTTGTGAAAGAAAATATATAATTTAAGTTCAAGATAATCTTTCATAAAGAATGACCTAATTATTATTAATATATAAGCATGATCTCTTAATCTACACGATAAAATAACCTTGGAAAAGCATATTCATTGAGAATTCATTCTCCATTTCCAGTTAATTTAAATTAGTTCCCAAGATAAGGATTTTGACTGAATGTAGCTAGGTGGATCAGCACTTTGAATGTGAACTATTTGGTAGCATCCCGAAAAGTGAAAGCCTCCTTCTAGGTTCATGCCACTTTACAGTGTGTAAATTATCAAGACATGAATTTTATATTAATCTGCTCTTATCTTATTAGCCAAGGACAATATCTATAGACACATAAATTTCACAAAGATGCTGGCCAAGTGTATCATGCTATCCTTTACTTAGCTAGGGCAAATGTTCAATCTGGATCTTGGTTGGTGAGCAGAAGGTTCATTCATATCTGCAGAATAGAGTAATATTTGCAACATGGGGAGTTTGGTTGAGTGAAGTTTAAAGTTAGCAAATCTATGTAGATAAAGTCGGGCATTAATTTATATCAAATTACATTAACTTGTTATGAAAGTGGATCGACTGTATATTCCAATTAACCAAGTTATACATTGATCTATGTAAACTTAGTCTAGATAAAAACTGGGTAGAAGACTCCTTTCGATGCCTCAACAATGTAAAGTTTGCTCAAATGTTCAATTGAATAATGAAAAAAAAAATACTACTATTATCAAGTGTAATTAATATTAAAGGATCATCTCACCCGAAAGCTTAAGCTAATAGGTGAGACTTCAAAATATAATTTATATTAATCTTTAACACATCCCCTCAAGTGAAAGTCCCAACATTTGGACTTGGAACTTGCACATCTCCACATTGCCTTGTGCTTAATACTTGAGAAATTAAGAATTGTGAGACTTAAACTCGGGTCCTCTTAATCAACCAAGCTCCGATATTATATTAAATGATCATCTCATCTAATAACTTGAGCTAATAGGTGAGACCCCGTAATATAATTTATATTACTCTCTAACAATTAATGATGAACATGTGTGGATTTTACTACCTATGTGTGTATTTTGCATGCACTTTTTTTATGCGTATGATCAGTTCATCACTTTTAAATGTTGGTATCATTTTCTATGAACATTAATGATATATATATATTGTGTAAAGGTTCACTAATTGTACTCCTAAATTATTTTTTGCTCTTAGTTAAGATTCACATTCTAGTCAAGAATAGTCTTTTAATAACTATTAAATATTAGTGTAGAAGGCTTTTGAGAATTAATTAAATGATTGGTCGGCTAATTAGTCAAAATATGGATAGCTAGTGTTCTAACTTATAAGAGCAATAGTCAACTACACAAGTAGAATAGATATAAGTAATAAGAGACTTAAAAGAATAAACAAGTAGTGCTAATAAAGTATAAGTCAAATGGCTAATAAGTGAGTGGTTAAAGTGCAAACGAGATAAAATTTTAAGTAATGTTTGGTGTGTGAATGAGAGAGTTTTAAGAGAAAAAATTTTAAAATTCTTTTGTTAGAGATTAAAAGCCAAAATCCCCTCATAATGATGATGTAAGATTAATATTTATAATGAATTGAACAAGATCGTTAACTCGTTAGAATCATGTCACGTCATTCATATATATTTAGATGGCTAGATTTGAATTGAAGAAAATTAGATTTTTGTTAGACTAAAATGTTTCAATTTGCTAGTAAAAATTAAAAAAATAATAATAATTGAGTTTTTGTTTTTTAACAAACCATGCTCCAAACTCATGCGACCCTTGGCCTTGTGCTAAGCCATATTTATCTTAAGTCTAATTCATTTTTTGTGTAACTAATTAAACTATATATATTAGTTAAAACTACTTAATTAATTTTAAAGAAAATCGTTACTAAACTTGTATCTCAACTTATACTTATTTAAAAAGAAAAAAATCTTAGATATCAGCCTCTCTCTTACTACAAAGAAAAAACAACAACAACAACAATAATCACAAATATGGCTAGAATATTTTTCTAGGAACAAATGGGGGCGACGATTTCGAAGTTGACCCAGCAGGGACCGTTGCTGACCACCACCACCACCACCATGAGCAATGCAAGCATAACCAAAAAAAGGCAGCGAAAAATAAAGGGAGCACTAAAAGGGCCGTGCTGTAGTGGTGAAATTTGGTGCCATATGTCTCGTCAGAAGACACCACCAAAGGGTTATGTGTCTAAATAATGGTACAGAATCGCTAGTGGACATGTTACTTGATAATGGCATGGTAAAGAAAAGCACTAAGAAAGATCAGTCTCTATTTTAATTTGCATGGCTTGGAGAAAGTGAAACGTCAAATTCATGTAGTATTCAAGAATTAATAGCCTTAGCACTGAACTATAATCATTAATCAATATGCTCTCTATCTCCTTTCTCTGTCACCGTTCGAAATTCATATTTGCCATAATTATCATCATTTGCCATAAACGTACGGATTCTCCAAGTTTGGGCCAATAAACATGTTACCGACTATGGTGGAGGAAGGGGAGAAGAAGGGGTGACCATGGAGACTATAATGATTGAATTTGTACTTAAAAGAGAAGGTCACGATAGTTCTAGCACATCATGATGAGTAGATTTGCAATTTGTGATTTCTTGCAGCAATTACTGCTGCTACTATTTTCAGAGTTTCTGACAGTATAATTCAGTTTACTTTTGGTTTAAGAAATGGATGTACGTCTACGGACAAAAAACATTAGGTATTTTATCTCCTAACTTACGTGAAGAGATTCCTATGGCATCTATTTTACTGTGGAGCTTAGGGTGTCCTCGTTAACAGGATACTTAGAAGCACATATATCACATTTTTCAAGAAGTCAGTGATAAAACTCGAATCTAAAGACCGCAAGTTGCATGAGCCTTTTTTTTTTTTTTCCTTCCTTATCTAGAACAGCGATTTAATGTCATAATTTATTCCTAAATTATTGGGGTTGTGAAAAAATAAATCCTATGAATAAAACCTACATTATCAATTTAAATTATTTCCACTTCAAATTATTGATTTTTGGATAAATTTTATCTTTTTTTTTCATTATTTCTGATAATTAAAATGTTGATCATTAATTGAAATGCTTAAAATAACATAATTTGTTTTAAGCATTTCATTTTTCTTTAGAATTAAAATTAATTTTAAAAGGTAATATTTAATAGTAGTTAAGTTTAAGGAAACTTTCTTTTCAAAAGCTCACAAGCCATTACTTTTCGTGATGAAAAATCTCATATTTATGGATTCTTTCAATTTTCAAGCCTAAGCCTAACTAAATTTAGTTTTGAGTTTTATAGCTAAAAAATGATGTTTTTGATTCCTTGTCAAATTTTGAAATAATAGAATAATTTAAGGAAAAATTCCCTCTAGCAATAAGAGAGAAAAATTATAATTTAATATTTTGAGGATAACGAACACTTTATTGTTTAAGAAAAAATTGATGAAAATACTTAATTGGCAATTGTGAAAAAATTAATGTATTCAAATGAAAAAAAAAAAAAACTAAAATCCACATACTTGATAGAAAAAAAATATTATAATTTAATATTTTGACGATAATAGACACACTACATCACTTAACGAACAAATTAACCAAAACACTCCATTGATAATGTATTGGATTTGATCAGAATAATTCTAGCACAATATGATGAGTAGATTTGCAATTTGTGATTTCTTGCAACGATAATGCTGCTACTATGTTCAAGGTATTGGATTTGAAAATAATGCTGCTACTATTTTCAAGGTTTCTGACAGTGCATTTCACTTTTCTTTTTGGATTAAGAAATGGATTAGCATATTTCCCACAGTAAATAACATCATCATGTCTTTATTTCCATACATATCTAAAGAGATTTACCCTAATAATAGAGACACTTAGACATAGAAATGCCACATTTTTAATGAGTATTTTTTGAAATAGTGTCTGTCATCATGGTGTCAATAAGGATTTTCGTTTTAAGAAATCCTAACAAAACTTAAACCTAAAACCACAAGTTCAATGAGTATTTTTCTTACCATCTAAACCATGCATTAATGTTTTTATTTGCTAGGTGGAACCATGCATTGAGTTGGCTGACCAGTTCTACGTAGTCTAGATTATGAGATGCTGGGTTGGGCTGGGACGGGCTCTTGCCACCCCTAAACAATTTCAATGCATACTGCCAGGCCCATGATTTCTACCTCAGCTCTTTACATGATATGGATATGCTAGGTTGTAGGTTCAGTTTCAATCTTTTTTATACTGTTAATGGCCCCCCGATAATTCAATTATTTCTTGTCAACAAAATTGAAATGTGAAGAAAAATTCAGCCTACAATTAGTAGTACCAACAAGAAGAAATGTTTCTAATGTTGTTTATAATTCAATTCAATTTTTTGTTTGTGAAATATAGCTTGAATTTGTAGATGAAAGTAGCAATATAATTTGAACAAGATATGTAACAAATTGAAATTGTAGCTATACAATTTCAAATCATTCATTGGTTAGAGTCATGTAAAGTTGACCAAAATTTCCTAGTTTCTTAAATACAGCAAAAACAATAATCTAAAGTTCTTTATGCTTGATATATGGAGTACAACCTACCATATTATTTTATCCTCTTTTACTCTTTGGATATATAAACAATTTGGGTATTTACTATAAAAAAAAGTAGGAAATGACAAAATAATTTGAGAGGAAAATTTTCATCCAAAAATAAAAGAGCAAAGTCATCAAATAACGGAGTAATTGACAGAATTTGAATAAAAAATAATTGATTGATAGTTTTGAAAAAATCAGTATTCTCAAATGAAAAAAATAAAATTTCATGTAAGATGACCTTAAAAGTTAGTATAGTTGTAGTGCAATTGTCGCACCGTTGTTGGTGATGTCTTGACAGCAGTTCTTGGAGCAGCAATCAGTAGAAATGTTTGTCATACTTTTAGTTCTAATATTTTATGAGAAGAATGAGTACTAGGTTCACACCGTGAACGAATGCAGTTGTTTACCTTGTCAATGACGTCTTCTTCTGTGCATTTGCCTTGAGTTTTTACTGAAACATTGCATTTATCTTCCGAGAATGAGCTCAAATTGCCAAGGCCTGAACAGTAGTTGTTGAGTGGATCAATTGTCTCTCTGTCATTGTCGACTGTGCCACGGCAACCACCATCACAATGCTTGGCTTCTTGAACTCCACTAGCAGTACTTCATACAGATCCATCAAGCCTCTCAGCTGACTTCACGAACTTTTGGTTTCTACCAGAGGCACAGCTTGGATTTTGAGCACCACATTGAACATTCTCAACATTTGTACGTAAGCAACAATTCTTGAGGCAACTATCTGATGCACCCTCCTCCACTAATTTACTAAAGCAATAATTTTTGCGACAATTATCATTTCCACTTTTTGGCTAGAGCAACAATCCTCACGTGAAATTATCTGATGGCACCTGCTCGACTATTTGGCTAGGGCAACAATTCTTGCCACAGTTTTCTGATTGCACCTTGTCAACTTTTTGGCTATTCTTGCCACAGTTGTCTGACAGCACCTTCTCCACTTTTTGGCTAGAGCAACAATTCTTGCGACAAGTATCTGATGAATTTCTATTACCATCTGTAAGCGAACGTGGTGCACCTGATGATTTGCAATAGTTTCCTGTGTGTTCCTCGTAAAACCAGCATGCTATTGAAAATCACCAACAAGCATGTACGCACATCAGCAAGAATTCAACAGCTACTTTCATTTTGCAGAAATATACTCAAGCGAGGGCAAACTGTACATTTGTATCAGCAAGTTTAAGCTCCTTGCTCAAGCTTTTAACAACACAGCTTACCTTTCAATAATTTGGCCGAATTTATCAACCTGAAGATATAATCACTCTGAGTGCACTGTCCGATCGCCGAAAGAGGCAAGCAAGTTTTTCAACTTTTTTTATCCCTATGTGCAATCAATATTTGGAATGTAACCTTCCCTCTTCATCTCCTCGTTAAGCAATTGGTATATGTTTACAGAATGATGGTGCAAGCTGTCACCAGCATGAAATTCGTGAATATGAGCTCTGATGTCAATCCAGCTACAGCCAGGGGTCTTAGAGACACCCCGCTGCCTCATTAACACCCTCATCTTTGCTGAGTCATCCCACCTTCTCATATTTGCATATATCTTAGATGAGAGAATATAATTTCCCGAGTTCGATGGCTCCATCTCTAGAAGCAAGTGAATGACCTTTTCACCAACATCTGCATTTCTTCGCTTCTGACAGGCACCAAGCAAAGACCCCAATACAATTTCATCTGGTTTTCCAGGCATCTTCTTGAGCAAGTCCCATGCTTCATATAGAAGTCCTGCACGTGCAAAAAGATCAACCATGCAAGAATAATGCTCGACTTTTGGGACCAATCCAAATGACGACTTCATCGATTCAAACAATTGGCGGCCCTCATCAACTAGTCCAGCATGCACACATGCAGAAAGTACTCCTATGAAAGTTATGTCATTAGGTTGAACATTGCCATTATCCTGTGACATGCATCTGAATAATGATAAAGCCTCCTGGGCCCGCCCATGAAAAGCAAGAGCGGAAATCATGGCATTCCATGAGACCTCATTTTTATGGGGCGTGCTCTCAAAAACCCTGAGTGCATCATCTAAACTCCCACATTTTGCATACATATCAATTAATGCACTAGTAATGTAGACATCGTGCTGTAAACCTCTTTCTGATGCATCTGTCTCAACCCATTTCCCCAAATCAAGGGCCCCAATGAAGGAACATGCAGACAGTACTTCAATCACTGTAACTCTATCTGGATTAGGTCCTGCGTCTCTCATTACATTGAAAAGTGTAATTGCTTCTTTGGACGCTTCATTCTGTGCATATCTGTGAAGTGATAGTTGAACCAAAAAATTAGCACACTCGACATCAAATACAGGGCCCCAAAAAAAAAAAAATATTAACTTGAAACACATTACAAATTTCACATATCTGTGTGGTTGTTATTTCATAGCTGATTAATTAGAAAGAATTCAAATTGTAAGTTAGTTCAAAGGAATAGATTTAGTGCTAATTCCGTTATGAGTCCACATCAAGTGCAACAAGCTACTCAATGGAAGAAAGTTACCATTATCTCCCAAAGATGATCCATAATTATATGTGACCATACAAAGTATAAAACCAATCTAATTACCCTGTGATCATGGCATTCCAAGTGACAACATCCTTCTTCGGCATTGCATCAAAGACCCTCCTCGCTGAAGTCAAATCCCCACACTTCCCGTACATATCAATCAAAGCAGACCCCACATACGAATTCACATCCATCTTCTTCTCCAAAACAAAACCCTCCACCCACCTCCCCAAATCCAAATCCCCCAAGTCCCCGCACGCCCCAAGAACACTCACCAGCGTCATCTCAACCGGTTCAAACCCCTCCTCCCTCATTTCCATAAACAACCCAATTGCCTCCTTAGCAAAACCCATTTTAGCATACCCTGAAATCATCGAATTCCATGACACCAAATCTCTGTCACCCATTTCATCAAACACCCTCCGTGCAAACCCCATTTCACCACACCTACCATACATTGTAATCAAAGAATGCTTCACATACTCGTCACAATCCAAACCAATCTTAAACACCATGCAATGTCCAATCTTCCCATGAACTAAACCCCAAACATTCCCACACGCTATAAACACAAAAGGGTATGTAAAATTATTTGGTTTCAGGCCTAAAGACTTCAACTTGTAATAAAATTCAATACAAAAATCATACTTTTTCCATGTGGTAGCTAACCCACGAATCATGACATTGAAGGCATAAATATTGGGTTCGGTGATATGGTTAAAAACAAGAGACGCATAGGTGAAGTCTTTGAGGTCAATGATTTTGGAGAGAAGGAAATTGGGTTTGGGTATTGAGTTTATAAGTATTTGTGTGTGGATTTGTAGTAGTGGGCTTTTGGATTTGCATTGTCTTATAAGAGACAAGAGCTTTTCAGTTAGAGTTTGATGATGTTCTTGTTGGTTTTGGAAGTTGTTAAGGTTTGGAAGAGAGAGATGGCGGGAGATTAGGCAAGAGGGAGGTTTTGTTTTGAGCATTGTTTTCGTCAGCTGAAACACTTACAAAACAAGTTTATTACTTCTGTTATTATTGAGTAAATTATAAAGTAGTCCCTCTATTATTGAGAGATGAATTAATTAGTCCTGCTTTTTTTAAATTAAGTATTTAGTTCATTGACTAGTATTGACCATACTTAATTTAATATTATTCTATTTTAAACATGTGTATTTTTTTCATAAATCCTTCCTTTTGTCTACTTATTAAAGTAAAAGGTTAAAATAAATTAAAACAGAAAGAAAATGATTAAGTTACAAAAAAATTAAAATTTCAAGGATTCAATAACTAGTTTTTAAAATAAGAATGATTACTTAATTGGTTTCTCAAAACTAGAAGAACTAATTTATATATTTACTCGTCATTGTTTGAGTTTCAAATTTAATCAAAAGAATTTTTCATAAATATATTAATACAATGGAAAGGATTAGTCTGATTACATATTGGTTTAAAAATACCATAACTTATAAAACTAAAAAATAAAAGTTATACGGCAAATGATCAAAGATCATGCATGCTAGTTCGAGGCTACTTGAGTTTTGAGATGCTAAAGAAAATATAAGGTGATGTTCGGTAACGTAATTGATGTATTTTTTCGGTTCAAAAGAATTCTTTCATAGGAATGGTAATGGAAGGGATAGGAAGCATATATTTGACGTATTGGAACCTAATAAATATTCATTAAAAATATTTAATGAATATTGAGATGGGTAACAAAAAAAATATATACTCGTTAATATATTTTTGGATATGTATATTTATTTTTATCCTATGTTAACTAATTGATTTTTTTTATTTTATTATGAAAAAACTTCACAAACTTTATAAATTACCATCAAAATATTTTTAGTGAAAAAATTAAGAACCAAAAGACTTGTGAATAAAAAACCCAAGAAACATTGATTTTAAGGACCGATATTTTTTCTTTTTTTAAATTACAAGAATTAAAATGAAATATTTTGATAAATTATTTTTAAGAGATATTAAATGGATCGATAAATCAAGTCTAAGCTTAAATAATAATTTTTTTAGTGAGTATGAACCGATTATTTTTTTAATACATAAGATCAAAAATTAAATTTATAGACTAGACACCCAATTCATTACTATCTCTATTTTTTATGATGTATCTTAAACCTGTGGAAGAACACTTGGATAAGGAAATTTTCTTGCTTCCAACGGCCAGTGGCATTAGAAAACGAAAAAGGAAAAATAGAAAGTGTCCTTGCTTCTGTTGCACACAGCAAAGTGCCCATTTCAGGTAATGATATCATACATTGTGGTGCGTGATACGGATTGAAAAACAAATGATTTCTGTGTTAAAATGCAGTGGTTGTATTCGGACATGTCTTTTCCCAAGAAAATGACATGGGACAGGACCACAACAGATATGTTTTATGTTCGGCTAGATAAAGATTGCGTATTTTATTTTTTGATATATATATATATATATATATTCGATTAATTTCCGCATCAACTGATATTAATTTATTATTTTTAAAATTAAATCAGGATTAAAATATATTTAATTTTTTTGTTGATCATTGAACTTTTTCTTAAATCACATGAGTTCAAACTTGATACCACTAAGAAATAATTATGCTTAATTATTCGTAGATAATGACAATTATATTTGTATTTTAATCAAATCAAGATAATCTATTTATTGTGAGATTATATCTCTTAGAAAGATATATAATATAATTCCTCAGAAGAATAAAAAATTAGTGGGAATAATTATGGCTAGATCTATAATATAATTCCTAAGAAAAAATCAAATACAAATAAATTATAAATTATATTACGAAAGAAAATTGAGAATTATTTGGATGCATCATCTATCCAATATATAACTGCAATATATCTATTAAAAAACACACAATAGAAACACAAGAATAACGTTTGAGTAATTAATTGTCTAATCTTTTCTAGTAAAAATTAATTTTATAAATCTAACACAAGCCTTCGAACACGACCTTAGAGCATCTTCAATGCTCTCTTTATATTAAGATTTTTTTATATATAATAAAGATATTTGGTCCAAATTTCATCTTCAATACTTTCTTTATCACAATCTCTATCTTTAAAATTGAAATACGAGTGTCTTTGGTTTTCTAATATTAGAGAGTCTAAATAACTCTTTATTTTATATTTCATTAATAAAAATTACTATTTTCTATGCCATTCAATCTCTTCACCAATAATCTCTTTTAGTTTTATGGATTTTGTCAAAATAAAGAGTTAATGTAGAAAGTAGCATTGAAGAGAACATTAATCTTCAATCTATATAATTAATGATGCTTTCTGTTTATATTAAAAATACTAATTAAAAGTTAAAAGCATAATTGAAGATGTTATTAGAAGTCAAAACGAATCACAAAATCTATGCAAACAAACAAACGCGGCAGCTTTCTCTCAAAAGACATGCCACGACTATGGAACTCTTCTTTGAATATCGTTGGTGGCTATTAATAAGCAGGGAAAGAAGGTTGAGAAAAGAAACAAACTAATCAAAACCCTAAGATCCAGATCTGAATAAAAAATAATAGATTTAAAATGTTATATGTTATTAGACTTTTTCAATCCCAAAATTTTAGTTCAAAAAATAAAGTGTTTTTTCTTACATTTATAATCTAGCACCCAATTCTTTTTACAATAACTTGAGCTCATTGCACCGGCACATATGGATTTTGAATTGTATGGTTGTTTAATTTAGCTTCTGATAATAGTGTTGGGTGTTTTTGAGTTTTCTTAACTTTAAAAGTTAGCTTGAAAGAGTAAAAAGAAAGTAATTAGAAGATAGATTGATTGGTGCAATCCTTTGTTTACTGCAAACTTCAGATGTAGTTGGTCTATCTAATTTGTTCTAACTCATGATTTAAAAACATGCATTACAATAACAAATCTCAACAACTCTTTATAAGGGTTTTTAAATCTTTCTTAAAAAAAAATATATATTGATTTATATAAATAGAGTGTTTTAATTTTCAATAATATCTAAAATATATCGTAAACGAGTATGTCAACCGAGTACTTTGTTTGAACAAAGAAAAAAAGAGGTTAATATCTTTCAATTAATTTGAAAAAAACTATCATTATTCTAATATTGCAAAATAGTATATAAAGATGTATTTTAAAGTAGATACTACTATAATATTAGAGGAATTTTTTCTGTTTTTATTACATCCGAGATATTCGAATTCAAAACTTTTCTTGGATCTCCAAAGTATTTCGGTTTGAAAATCTAAACTAATCTCTTGTTATTACGTCGGATGCACAAAACGAGATATATCTATCTAAAAAGTTTTTTACGTATAAAAGAATTTAAATTATAAATCACGTGTTTAAATGACTAGAGGTTGTTCTCGCTCGATCCTCTTTATTAGTACTAAAAGTTTAAATTTTATCAAACCAATCAAATTAATTACAAGTACCTATATTGCATTAGTTAGTGATGATTTTGAAGTCTATATTCTCATCAACAAGCAATTTTTGATCCATGAAACCAGTTGGTATAATAATTAACTTCTAAATGAATATTTCAGGATGAAAATGTTATGTCTTTTTATTGCCAATCGAAACCATTCAGATTTGATTTCACAAGTTGGAGCAAAAAGACATTTATAAGTGGAATTTCTTTTTAACGAGCATAAAGGTTAAATGAAAGGGACAAAGAACGAACAACACTATGGTTGATATACATTGGTAGTTTGCTTAATGCTTAATTAATTATTGTCAGTAAGATCCAAAACAAAGGAAGAGGACATGGGACCCTAAATTCTTCATTTTTTAAGGTTAAAGTCACAAAATCTTGCCACCAAATATGACCCCATAAAAGGGGTAGCTGATAAATAAAAGGCGAAGTAAATTATAAACTAGTCCTTTAGTTTTTTGAAACAAATTAAAATAGTGTTCCTAGTTTCAAAAATTAATTAATTAGTCTATTAACTTAATCTTTTTTCGTTTTTTTAATTTATTTTGTTTTTTCATTTTAAGAAATAGAAAAGCAAAAAAATAAGTACAAAAATGTGAAAAGATTGATGAGATAAGAAGACATCTCTAAAAATAAAGTAACATTAAATTAAACATAATCAATACTGATTAAGAAACTAATTAATTGGTTTTTGAAATAAAGATTATTTAATTCATTTTGTAAAACTAAAGGGACTAATTTATAATTTACTCATAAAAGGTGTTGAAAAGAAAGAAAGAAAAAAGACAGATAAATGAATAAACCAAGCTGGTTACTGTGCTATTGTAGACTTGTAAAAATCTTGTCTTGGAAAGTTTTTCTTTTTGGGGATTGCTGGAGTCTTCAAATTATTATTATTATTATTTTTCCTTCCTGTCAAAGTTTCCATGTATACCAGTCCCTATCAGCCATTAGTTTTGATACAGGGTGGGTTTCCAGCTTGCCTTTTTTTTTTTTTTTTTTACCCTTTTGTTTGGCATAAGCAATGCAAAGTTTAGAAGAGACAACTTTGAGTAGCACCAAGAGATACATATATATGGTGATGGTATTGTGTTTGCCAACTACAATGTCCAAAAATTCTATTTAGAAACTCGAGTTAAGTATAAATCTTCATATTTTTAGATTTTTCTTTTATGATTTGAAATAATTATTATTGGAGTCTTTTTTTATCGGTTACGAAATTATATAATGAGTTAATAGTTTAATTTGTTTTTATATAATAGAGTGATTCTACAATCTATTATTGTATTTTTAATTGGTCTAATTTTATTATCAAATATACTTAAGTTTCTAATTTATCGTTTCAATAAGATTTTCAGATTAAACCATTAATGAAATTAATTATGTAATTTGTACATAAAAACTTTTAATTTTTCTAGCTTACAAGGACATTTTCAAAATAAAAAATAATCATGTGCAAATCGTATTACTAATTTTGATGGTTTAGTATGAAAATTTCACTAAAATGATATATTAGAAATTTAACGTGTATTCGAAAATAAAATTAATTCA